CGCTCAGGATGCAGGCAGCGTGTGCCAGGGTTTGCCCTGGGCGTGTTTGGGGCTTCAGTGTGGTTTGGTTCAGGGTTGGCCACTGATCACCCATCAAGGGGTACTGACCTGCACGTGTAGGAAGGTGCTGGATCCACGTGGTGACAGTGCTGATGGTGGTTTTGTGGCTATGCTGAAACAAGGGATCCCTTGCTATCTGCTGAAGGAATTAATTGCTGCAGCTTAGAGTAATGAGCTGTGAAATAAATCAATCCCTTGGGCACAGAGGGCTCGATAATTCCTGTACTGCGTGTATGGAGGTTGTGTCATTTGCATCAAACAGGCTAATGGGGAGCTGTTCCACCTGCAGCTGGGCAGCTCAATGACAGCTGAATATTGGAGATTCCCTGAAGTCCTGACATGAGCCAAGTGCCTAACTTTGATAGGAAACCATTGCTTCTGTTGATGTATTTGGCACTGTGATAGCTATTGTTGAGCACTCAGGTAGTTCCACTACTTTGCAGGATGTCAGAGGCTGAAAATCACATTTAGCTGCATTTAATTCTAAACTAGTTTCTTTTAAGCATATGTTCTGTGCCTCTTTGGTGGGAAATTCCAGTATCCCATGAGTCCTACATGAGTCAGTGTGAAACTGGTTTTAATTAAATCGACGGATTCTTCCTGTAAAAGCAGACCAAAAAATAAGCTATTAAGACTGAACATTGTTCTGACTTTCCTTGGAATGATTTGGGTTTTCTCTGCTTGTCTACACTTAGGAGGATGGTTTTATATTTTGACACACTGGATAACCATGAGAGGAGCCCTGCTTCTTTGTGGCTTCTTGATGCTGAATTACATGAAGAGATGAGTGTTTCAGTGAGATAACAATGCACCTGGTTGACATCAGGAAACCTTCCCCTAATCAAGGGTGACTTCACAGACTTGTGTGTCTGAAACTCAAACTATGTTAATGCAATTAAGGATTTACTTAAGCTGAAGATTTCTGCCTTTCCAGTAGATCAGGTGGTGGGGGCTGGGGATTTTTAGCTTTTGGTTTTTCATTTTTTGCATATATATTCTAATTCTGAGAAAAATCCCAGGAGATGACATTAAGAGTGTGTTTGTGTATTAAAGAGATAGAAGGAAAAGTAAATCACCTACCCAGCTGCATGGCAAATCCAAAACAGGGGCTTCTTGGCAATGATTACACTTTTGGAAAAACAGAGAAGTTCTGTGAGACTGTCACAGGCAGGGAAAACAGCTGTAGTTGCTCTGCTCCTTCCCTTTTCATCACCACAGTCCATTTCTCCTCCAGTGCGTGAGCCATCCATTTGGGAACCAGATCCATCAGCAGAGGGGGAAGGTTAAAAATAACTTCTGCCTTTCCTAAGGTTATTTTTAACCTGGAATGCTTAAGTGATCTGGTTTACAGTGTTACTTGACAGACAGGTCAGGCTAACTGAGGGTACAGGCAGCTTTGGGCTTTGCTGTCAGAGCTAGCATGTGCCTTTTACATGCTTCATTTGTCTTGTTTTTTTAATGAAATGTGAACATTAAAGTGCATGAAACCTGAGTTGTGAGCCTGGCTGTCCTTGGTGCTGCAGGCACATGGATTAGAAGGATTCTGCTCGGTGCTGAGAAAAGACAGGAGCACTAATGGTGCTTCAGTGCAGTGCTTGGTTAGAGAATCTGTTTGTAGGGAGAGAAAACAGACCCTTCTGAGTGTAATTGCAGTAGGGGTCTTTCCGTGAGGTGGGGCCTGGACAAGATGGCATGTTCTTCCAAGATGGCATGTTCTTCCCAGGGTCAGGGAACCTTTCCTTTCAAAGGCTGAGTCACTGTGGTCCCCATTCAGCCACATGGAGAGGGATGTGTGTGCCCAGCTCTGTCTGCCCAGGGCTGACCTGTCCAGAGTAAGGAGCTGGATACTTCTGTAGCCCTGACCTTCAGGGTCAGCTCAGCACCGTGCCTGGCTCAGCCCTCAGACGTGTGTCATTACCAAGTATTTGGAGGAAGTGGCTCTAAAGAAGGAAACATCTCCGAGATGGCTTGTCAGCTTAGGGTGAGCTATCAGGAGTGCCAGCCACGTTGCATTTGTCAGGATAACAACAGTGGTGTGTTCTCATTGGTGTGTTTATTGTCCCTTTCAATATGACCAGCAGCTGAATTGGTTACACCTAGTGGTAAGAATTAGAGTGGGTGGTGAGCTAATGCAGGCTCTTACTTGGTATTTGCTGGGTCACTTTTAGAACTTCCTCATATCTGCTCATGTCCCAGGCAGCTTTTCAAGCCTCGGTGTAGCTGCCTGTATCCACACACAGGAAAGGCACCTGTAACAACAGTGTCCCTATGAAGTTCTGCATTAGGCATCTATTTAAGGGAAATGAAGAATGAAAATGTATTTGGTATCTATTTTGAGTATTATGTATTGAGAACCTGTTTTGCTGTTCTTACTCTTCATCTTCCATTGCTAAAGCAAATGCTGATATTGTCCAGCAATTTCAGAGTACAGACCTCTTAATTTTCCTTTTTAATTCTGCTGAAAGTTTGGGTGAATGTGGATCCATTTACCTCAGCAATGGAATAAAATATCCAAAGCCAAACCAATCATGAGACACAGCTGATGGAGAGAATGAAAAGGTGATTTCCTTTGGAAAAATGGCCTGTTTTGCTTTTGTAAGTAACACGTCAAATATGAAAAACTACATTTTTTAAAAAGATAAGAATATTTTGGAACAACTCCTATTTCTAATACATAGCGAAAATAATAAAGAGGTTGAACAAAACACCTCATTTTTATTTTTCTTAAATAATGAGAGTCAAAACTTTTCACAAAGTTACCACAGCTTTTGCTTGTTTCTTAGTTCTGAAAAGAAAGTATTTCCTTATTTCAAAAGCAAACTAGATGTAAGACATAATTTTGGTAGAAAATTATTCTCTGCCATCCTGGGCTTTTTTTGGCGTATCTTTTGCACTTATTTTATGGTATGTCTTGATCTCCTTATATCTTAATTTCTGTGTAACTCCTGATAGTTTTCCTTTGGTTCTCTCTCTTAGAGATATAAACCCAGTTCCTGGATGTTTTTTTCCAGGGAATGTGTCACACTTTTAGGGAGGAAATACCAGATTCATGACAACATCTTGTCTGTGCATAGGAGGGTAGTGCAGCCACAGCACCTGACATACACTTGAGGATTTCACACTCTGCAGGTACTTTGCTTCAACCATTTGCAGTGACTTTTAGAAGCTGGAGTGTGGTTACAAGGGGAAATGTGCTGTCCCTTCTTATTCACACTCTCTCCCCTTGCTTTTGGACATAATTCCCCTCAAAGTCTCGAATTTCTTTCATAAGACCTACCAGCTGCCTGGGCTTGTGTGTGCTGTAAGTGTGATAGCTCTGCAAAAGAACAAATACCTTAAAGCTACTGCCAGGCTAGATTTGAATCTCCTGTAGTCATCACCATAGCTTCATAATTATGGGGAGAATTATGATCTGATTCATTATGCAACTATGGCCATAAAAGAAGGAAGTATTTCTCTCCTTAGGAGGAAATTAGGATGAGTCATAGCTGATGTTGAACTGAATTAGGCAAGGTGGTGCCAGACAGAGTCACATAGCAAAGGAAGAATCCTGATTAGGGTGGTGCATTACACCATCTTGCTGCCCTATAATGCACCTTTTTACACCGCTGAATTTTCATAGTACTTGGAGTTTTCAGAATGCTTTCAGCATTTTAACCAGCAATCAAATGATTACCACCTTGCAGTGTAACTTGGAAGCCCAGAGTACCACTTAGGCTTTGCTTCCTTCTTTTGACAGTGCCTGAAATGCGTTATCCAGGAGTTGATTAATTAACAGAGCACGTCATTATCCAACACTTATCCCATCGTGAAACTGGAAGTGAACACTTACAGGCTTTAGAAAGTGACTTGGGGCTATCGGTGGGAGGTACAAATCTGTGGAAAGATGTAGTATGAAGGACAGCAGAGTTTTAAAACACTCACCATGTTACATGCAGAAGGGAGGCCTTAATTACATGTAGATGAGATTGGAAACAAGACTGCAGAGTTTAGTTTGCATGAAAGGGAAGCATGACATGAGCAAAGTTTTATAGTCTCTTTCCATCTCCCTTTTTTTCCTTTCTCAAGAGCATTTAAAGGGAAAAATACAGGGCATCCTAAGGCACTGAGCTGTGAACAGCACTCAGTGTGCTGCTGTTTCAGCTCTCCCAAACAGGGCTCTGCAGTACCCATCCATCAGGGCTATGAAAGATTCATTCACTGTCCTGCTTGGTTTTCATCTGTTTTAAACATTTAGAGACCTACTTACATGCCCTGTAAAACCACGCACAAATCATAGGGTTTGGGAACGTTTCTAGTGAAGTACATGCCTTTTCCACTCAGGATGGCTACTCTTCTGCTACAGATTGCCATGAAAAGCATTTCACTGGCATGAAAACCTTTTGTGGGGGAGGGCCTGTGTGGAATTTGTAGTCATTTCCATGCTTATTTATTATTCCTTACTTTGTTGTATTTACTCCTCACTATTTTTACTTTGCTAATATCCTGCCATTCTCTTTCCCTCTCCATTTCCAAGGCCCGAGCCTGCAGGCAGGCACATTCTGCTGATGGGCAAAGGTTGCTACAATCAGCAAAAATAATCAGCATGGGTTTGTGATAAGAAAACATCTTCCTCTAATTCTGTTTTACCAGAAGTAGCGTTTTGTTTTGTGGTGCTGCAGCAGAGCTGGAAGCCTTCACATCTGCCAGGTGTGTCCAGACCCCTAACCCCATTCTGCTGCCTCAGACTAAGCAAAGAGCCCATCCCATCTGTGGTTTCATCTTTCACAAGTGATTCAGCTTTCTGTTTGTGTAGCTAAAACATCTAAACCACTCCTGTTTGGATACAGATTGACCCCTGGAATCTAATGTATTTTAATGAGGAACTTCTATTGAAAATGTTCCAGTGTCAAAAGGTATCACAGAGGATTGCACAGAGACAGACACACTGGGGTACTTACCCATTTCGGGACTGGGGGCTCGCAGCTTCAAAATCCCCTCTCTCTTCCTGGTGTGAGGAGATCACACTTGAAGGGTAATCTTGAGTATCCTCCCTGAGCCCTTCTGCCTCCCAATAACCTTCTTCTTGGTGTGACAGAGGAGTCCTCTGGGGGTGTGCAGAGGTGTCATAAAGTCGTGGCTTTGAGCTGTGCACCGAACCATCGTGATGTCCACGATGGTCTGAGCGTTCGGCCAGCTTTGCCAATCCTATTGTGTTACAGAGCAGCAAAAGCTTCACCAGCATCCTGGGGTTTTTTCCCACCCAGTTACACCTGTCTCTTGTTCTTTCCTCTGAAGCTCAGCCCGAATTAATTCAGAAATGCCCCAGCGATTTTCTTTAACTGGAAAGTTGGAAGAAGGAAGGAAAAAAAAAAAAAAATGTTGTAACAAAGAGCGGAAAGAGCTTTCGACCCTCCCAGCTACTGTGGAAACGTCCGTGGCTATCGAACAATGTGAGCCTGGTTCCTGTGTGGGGCTCAGACGTGTCTGACGGGGGGGGAAAAAAAGGTGGTAGGAATATAGCTTATTCAGGGAACTTCGGAGCTCAGCCGCCTTCTAAACTTATCTGTGAACAGGAACTCGGCTTTTATCAACTGCCTTCTCCCTCAGGCACAGGAAAAGGATGTTAGCTTAAAGGAAAGGAAGAGAAAAGAAAGGAAAGAAAATACTGAGTGGTGTAACAGACTCCCCTTACAGTGCCAGAAAATCTTACAGACCTGCTTGCTCCAGTGCTGCACATGGGGTTTTTTTTCTACAATTTAAAGGCTGAAATATCTTGGCTTTAGCAGCAGGATATTCATGGTATGTACGATAAATTACAGGCATTGAGGGACTCAGAGCAAATGCACAGTAAAAAAGAGCTTACAAATATCCATTCTTGTGTGACCTTTGCAAAGTAGCTCTGTGAATCATACTCTGTTCCCATCAAAGTGGAAGATATTCATGAAGCTGTCCTTCAGAGAGGTCAGGATAATTCGATATTTTTAAGAATTTCTGTTTGAGTTGTCATTTCTGGATCTCAGGCCTAATTTTTTTGTGCATTTTTAGTTAGTGTTACAAAAAAACACTTGCCAAGAGCTGCTGTCAAGAGCTACCTCTGTTAAGATGCCCTAATAAAAATTAAAACAAGAAAAAGGCTGTGAAAGTTGGATGTAGTATTGTTACTGGTTTTGCTTTGCTTGATGGTGATGCTTTTAGTTTTGTTGCTTTCATAAACTGTATTTCTTTCTACACTGTCCTGCAGAATGATGTGCTCTGATATTTTTAAGAATAAAATGAGGGAAAATGATGCTCCACTGACAGAACAAGTGGGAATGCTGGTGCAGGAGTGCTGGATCATCTCTCAGTTTGAATGAGATGCACAGCCCAAAGTTCAGTATGTCCTGCAGAGCATTAAATGCAAAGCTTTTATGGATTCCTTCCAATGACAGCTGAAAATAGAGGATAAAATCTCTCCAGGATTTTGGAAGGCCTTCTTTTTAAAGGCTGTGAATTCTCATTTTCTCATTGTTATCTGGATCTGCACCCCCTCTCCTCCTGCCCCTATTTTCTGCTTAATGGAAAAACCCAGAGAAACGCAGAAATGCCCTTCCTGACCTGTAACAGGCACTGTTGCCTAAGAGCCATTAATCCCTAGGGCAGTGACAGCAGCACAGGAGGCCAGGTAAAGAGAGATTTTGCTAATTTTAAGGGCAAAACCTGCTCTTTCTGTAGCAGTCACTTCTCCAGGGAGATGAAATCATAAGGTCTGGACTGAAGATTGAAAAAAATTAGCAACTTCCCTCTGTTCCTTCCTGCTGCTTTTATTTCAGAATTGGGTGCATCCTGCTATAATACATGTCAGTGTGTGAGTATTTCATGTGCCATGTTTCACATACAAATGTGCTTTTCTTGTAAGTAACTGGATGTGACCTAAGCATTATGTTTGTTTATGTAATAAGACCATTATCAGGAAGGAACTGAAGCAAACATGAGACAAAACAAGCAGCAGGCTCATAACCTGAGCTGGGGTGAGATCCTGGTTTGCAAAAAAGTGGGTTTGTGCCCACTTGTTGACCTACTTCCAAACCCTTTGGACTTGTCTTTCAGTATATACCTTTCCACTTAGTCTTAATTCACCCACTAAATCTTTATTCTTCATGGATGTGACACCTCACAAGTGGTGGTGCAACGTTCCTCTGTCCTCCTGTCTCAGAACATCTGCTGCTCCTTCAGGTGCGAGAACCTGTTCTCTGTGCCTTTGTAATGGTGCTGCCCTGTGGGTGCAGCAGGCACAAATTTACGTGTTAATAATTTAGGGTGAGCTTTTGGTAGCAGTTATGAAAGAAGTCAAAATATGGGCATGACAGGGGATGACGTCCCTTTCCTTGTGAAAGATGTAGCATAGGATGCTGCCATGAACACATGGAAGGCATGAATTATTCAAAGGATCTTCCTTACTAGTTCAGGGTTTTGCCTAATAGCTGTTCTGATTTGGGGTATCTGAATAACACGTTCAGGTTGTACTCTTGGTTCATACCACTGGGCTCACTGGCAGACTGAGCTGTAAGTTTTCTTGCTTTTACACCTCTGGAAGAAAATGTATGAGGAGTGTGCCCACTCAGGAATTAGATGCACCACAACTTGGCCTCTTTTATTTTTTTTTTGAGCTCGTGCCTCAGCATGGAATCAGGGAAAACAGGCATACAAGGTCATTTTGCTGTGCCAATTTGCTCATTGCTTTCTGAGGTGAATCTCTTCTAGGAGGTACTTTCTAGGTAAGAAAGGCAGCCATGCACCAACTAATATCAATAGATGTCTGTCACTTTTCAGTTACCTGGTTTAGGGTTGGTGTACCTTACACAGCTGGGTACTACTGCTGGAATGAAAGAAATAGGTGAGATAAATCAAATTTAAAACATAATTTGGAAAATTGCTTGGAAATAAGTGTTACTCCAAAAGTATATTTGAAACTTTATCAGTGAGTGCTACGATGATGGTAACAGTACTGGTGTGGAGATATTTGGAGCTGCCCTGATACCTCTCAGAACAGCTATCCAAAAAGATATTGTCCCTCCACTCTTGCTGTTAGTGACTTTTTTTTTTTTTTCCTGCATCCTTATTCATGAAAAGACTTTTCTCCCAAGTATTTCTGGGAAGTAGTTCCTTAAAGTGTTCAAACTAGTCCTTAAGGAGTTGATATTGCCAGTTACAGCAGGTTGGTCAGAATGCCCTGGGACCTTGCTGGTACCTGTCAGGACTGCTTTTGCCTTGTCTGGTAATTAAAGCTGTTTCCATTAAACACAGCTCTGAACCCCCTCTGATGTTGCCCACCCCAAGAATTCAGTGTCGTGTTTCCAATTCCAGAATCAAGTTGTCAAATGCCGGAACCATCTTCTGGATAATCTGCTTAAGATGCAAAATCTCATCTTGACCCTTTTGTGTTTGTTTGGAGTCAGAGCCCTGCAGCTACAGCTGGATAAGAGGTGGGTAACCACACAGTAAACGGTGCCAAACTATGCATTTGATAAGTGGCTTGTACCTACTTGGAAAGCAAACACCCTGGCTATTCCAGTCAGCGTGTCTCTGGAGAAAGAGCCCTGAGAAATTTAATTTTCAGTTTATAGGTTCAGATGATTTTGTTTCTTTCTTTTGTATCTTTCCAGATTCACTGGCTACTCTGTAATGCTCTTAATTATAGACTTAAATTCCAAAACTGTGTATTTAAAAGGGGGGAAAAAAACAAACTGGAAAAAATGTTTTAAAAAGCCAAGCAAAGATGGAATTATTTTAATGAGCCACCATTGCTTTAGATTCATATATCCCAGCTCCAAATTTCTGAAGCTGACTGAATAACTGAAGGGATTTATGTCTGGGAAGATGAGTAGGACAGTTTTGTTGATAGCTGCACAGCAAGGGGATAACTTCTCATTGGGCTTCGGGTTTTAGATCTGGAAAATGCTGTCTCATCCCTTGCCTGCTGCTGGTGCACTCCCAGCAACTGCTGGGGGGAAGGGGAGCGCAGGAGGGGAGTGTCAGGAGGGGGCTGCTGGGCTAGGGAGCAATCAATTTCTCTGGTCTGTCCATCAGAGGAAGGAGATGAATTTTTGTGGCCTATATTTTTAATAGTTTGCTCCAAAGCTATCAGTGGTATTGAACAGCAGAGATCAGTCAGGAAAGGCTGCTGTACAGGCAGCTCTCTGCACGCTCTATGTGTGCCTGAAAAATGCCTCATCCCTGGGCTGTTCGTTCCCTGGCAGAGGAAATTAACTCATTAACCATGCAGACGTACATGCAGAGATTCAAATCCTAAACTGTTTGCCAAGAGGATGTCAGACAACTGCCTGTTTTTGTTGGGGCATGAAAATGAATGATCTGAGACAGTTCTTTCTGTATTTTGAAGTTTTCATAAATTGAGAGAGGAAGGAGTTCTGTTTATGTAGAGCAAGGTTTGATCCTGTTAATATAATTCTTCATACAAAAACTTCCTGAACAAAGGATATTTACCAGCCACAAAAGCAGTCTGTCTTTCCTTTCCTTACCTGTCTTTCAAGCACCATCATACCCCATTTAAATACTTCAATGGGATATGACCAAATCACACTCCTTTCATCCAGCAAAATTCCTTTGTCAGCTGTTAGTCTCCAGCATGAGTTCATCATTAAAGGACAAGGTTAAGGTTTTGTGTGTGAAGTAGCTTGCAGCTGGGAAAATTCAAGAAGGAAGAGATACAAATTAAGTAAAATCCTGTTTTAATCTGTTGGAGACGCAAAAAGACAGTAGAGGACAGGGAATCTCTGTTTCTGCTTTGCATTCTTTTCTCTCCCTTTCATCAGCACTTTGGGGAATTGTTAGACTTGAGTTAGAATTGTCTTGCCCATATTCCAGAATTGCTGGCAGGTGTTGCACAGACCTGCTCTCAGACACCTGCCACCAGCACCCAGAGAGGGGTGTGGGTGTGTGAGATGAGGGGAACTGCTCCTTGCAGAGACCTTCAGGAAACTGGTGTAGTGTGGCAAGAGGCTCAATGGCCCAGCCTAAGCTGCCAGAATTCAGACTTTAAATAAACAGCAGTTGGATGGTTTGTCATTGCACAAGTCAAGACAAGGCTTTGTTTTGGTATTATGCAAAACAGTCACGTGGTTTTGAGATACGAATTTGTTTACTGTGATATGAATTATATTCAATCATAATTAAAAATAAAGGGAACTTAGTGTGTAGCTTAACCGGCCTCTCCCCAGTATCATGAGGGAGATAACAGAGAAAAAGAGGTTGCTGACAGGTGAGATGGGAACTTAGGGTCTCTGAATTGCCTGCTGGAGGACCTTCTCTTTAGTTGCTAATTATATGATCTGATACAAGGGGCAAACTTACCAGGCACAAAGTTAAGAGCCAAAATCTGAGAGCCAAGGTTGCTTACATATAATCCTGTAGTTAGATCTACCTGAGGCAGGATTGGCACCAAACTGGGACTGAATCCTCTGCTTAGAGAGAAATAGGGTAATGCAGTTGCCTTGAGGTGGCAAACCTTCAGGAGCCACTGTGGATGCTTGCCCTATATAGATCATCTACGATGTTGTCTTGAGTCCAGAGCTTTCCTAAAAAGGTTTCAATGTAAAACAATGCCTGTGCAAACTGCCTGCTTCCTTGGGAGAGATCCAACAGCATTTAAATGCCTCCTGTGAACCCTTTCTGAAGGTCATCAGGAGAGGAGAAGGCAGGAAAGGAGTATCCCACTTGAGTATTGGCTAATTCAATCTGGTGATGATTCATGTTTTACATGCCAGGATGGCTTGATATTTCATGTGTTTGTTACCTTTTATAGCAATGCAAAATATGTAGAATTCAATTGTACAAATCACAGTGACAGAACAATAGCTGAACGAAATCAAAATACACATCTCACCCAGCCTTATCAACCTTGGCATTCTCTGGTAAAGATACCAGTAAAACCCATAACCATGAGAAGATCTGTGCTGTGCTTTAACAGTCTTTGAAAACCTGATGAAAAAGTAAATGGTCTCTGTAGCAATTCCCGAAGGTGGTAAATTTGGGTTTTTTTACCAAATGTAGTTAAAACAAGACTCCTGCCCTGTGCCTGATGAAATCAATGGCAGTTTAGCAACTGGCTCCAAGAGCAGCTTGGCTAAACCACTGGTTGTACAGCACAATAGGATACAGATACCTTCAATTTATGAGTAACTCAGGAGCAGAAGCAAACACCAGCCATGGCACCAGCCACCTAAGGGGAATTTTGAAAGATGGTGAGAAAAGCCTTTTTTCACTTCTTGCTTCAACAATCTTCAACAGTGTGAGCTCCTATAATAATTGGTATGCTGTGCTGGCCTTTCTGTGAATCTTGCAATTTTTTTAATTAACTGATAAATTCATCAGTCTGGCAGAGATTTGCCTCCTCTACATTCAAATGGAAAATTGTTCTTAATTCATTAGTACGGAGAATTATTTGTGAGAAAAAAGATGAAGACATCTATATATTATTTTCCAGATGAGCCGTTTTTCAATTGTTTCAGTATGGGGTAAAAAAACCCACTCCCCAAAACTACAGAACTATTCTTAGTTCCACAGTAAGAACTGTGTTTGTGTACATGTCTGTGTGTACACACAGATATGCCATTTTTTATTCAGACCTTTTTCTTTTCTGTGTAGTCATTCCCCATCTGAGCCTTCCAGGCTGAAAACTTGTGGCAGCAGTGGCTTACAGACCACTGCACTGCATGACATTACAGACAGTACTCTCATAATGCAGCTCAGCCTCTAAATTTAATGTTCTGTTTGCCTGGTGAGGAGAAGCAGCCAAAGCAGGTCAGAGTTTGGGCTCAGAGGATGATGATTCATGGCTTCTGTGGTTTCACATATGGCACTATTAAAAATAAATTAATTAAAAATCACCTTGCTGCACCAGCAATTGCTTTCACAGGTGCTAGCACTGAATTTTGGGTTGCTAGTGGGGCAGTAGGTGACTTGGGCCACTCGGGATCTACTTCAGAAAACAACTTAACTAGAGTTTTAGCTGCGATCACATTAGGATATCCAGCTGTGATGAGTTATTGTGTTTTCATATCTTTTCCTAGCGATGCCTGGAGGCTGGATGGATCCTCTGTGCACGCTGTCAGACTGCCCCAGTCAGTTCTGTGCTGGGTTTGTTCCTGCCCCGCTGTGCTCTGCAGCACAGGCCTCTGACGCGAGTGACGGCGTCGGCGTGGAACGTCGTCTCGCTGTGCGGCGGCAGAGCAGAGCTCTGTCTGCAGCAACTCACAGAAACAAATAGGAAACAGGATTTCCCCCAACAGGCGTCTGATTTTTCAGAAATGAACCGTTGTAATGGGATGTACAGCTGAGCAAAGCCCGTGATTTATAGTGAATGCCTTCAGACTTGACAAACATGGCAGGTGAGACCTCTAGCACCCTTCACCTGAGCCAAACTGTAGCTGGTTCCCTTTTTCTCTCAGTATTTACTAGAAACAATGTTGTTGTTACCATTTTGTACAGGGTGGGTTCTGGTAACTGCCAGACCACAAAACTTTGACCCTGTTTGTTTGCCACAAATGGTAGCAGATTTACATGCTCTCCACCCTCTAGGGACCCGGGAGAGCTGGCATTTGGCTCCTGCTGCAGCCTCAGAGAGATGCCCTTTCAGGAATTCAGCTCTCCAGACAAAAAGTCTCCCTCTTCACATGAGAGCATCCTTGAGTGAGAGCATTGCAGCACATTTTAAAAGCTCTATCTGTCTGGAAATTTTCCAGTCAGTCCCTCACCTACTGCTGTCGTCCTCCTCCTCTCCCCCTCCCTTCTTAAAGCTTCCCAAGCAGATCCATATCATTAATATTTCAGTATCAGCTGCACACGGGCATTGGCTACACTGCAGCACACTTCATCAATAAGAGCCAGCGAGGGCTGTGAGGTTTGCCACACTGCCTTCATCCAGCGGAGGAGCGAGAGCAAAGGCAGAGCCTGGCAGGGAAACAGAGTATCTGCCGAGGGTAAGGCTGCAGCTCGCAGTGCCAGCCTTGAGGTGCTTTTTGCTGCTCTCCCCTATTCAGATCATCCCAGATAATACCTTAACAAGCAACCAGAATGGATGTCTTTAAGAAAGGTTTCTCCATCGCTAAAGAAGGTGTGGTGGCTGCTGCAGAAAAGACCAAGCAGGGAGTGACAGAGGCTGCGGAGAAGACTAAAGAAGGGGTAATGTATGTAGGTAAGAGATAAGTAGTTTGAATCTACCTTTGAGCATGAACAGCTGCATAGATTGTCTCTGGGAAAGTCTGGGGAAATTATATTGTGGCTGGAGCAGGGAGGTCTGGATCACATCCTCAGCTCTACACAGAGTTGCTTTGTAAACCTGGGGTGCCACAGCCTCCCCGTGCCTCAGTTTCCCCAGTTGTAAATTAGACATAGACAGGTTCACTACTATGGGGGAGGCAGAATAAATGTAATGTTATGGAGCAGAAGTTCAGGTGTAAGGTTTCTGTTAGACCAGTCACTGATTGTTTGCAGGGTGAGTCAGACACTCTCCAAGCATCTGAGCGCTGCTGGTCTCCACCTCACCTCCACACTGAGACATGCTGAGGAGGTCCCTGAGAGGAGCCAGCAGTGATAGCAAGAGGGGATTGCAGGATGCATCTGTTTCCCCACAAACAAACTGTTTTATCCTGAAATCCATCTCTTGTTCACCAACCGATTTCGTTGCCCGTGCACACATTAATCTTGCTTTGCAAGAGACGCCCAAATTCCTTTTTCCCAAAGAATAGGATCTGGGAAACAGCACGCCTGATGTCCTGTCTAGAGACCTCTCTCACAGTTAATGGGCTGTTTCAGAAACCTCTCCTTTCAAGGTCACCCTTGAAACCCACTATCTTCACTATCTAGCAAATGCAATTATATGGCTGGATGGTCAGATATTCCAGATAATACAAAATCTACAGAGTCTTAGGTTCCCAAGACTGATTACCTTGCTGCTGATTACTGTGTTTCACACAGCTTTCTATTTTTGCTAGATGTGGAAAAGAGGGTTTATTTTAGTTGGAAAGTTTACACGAACATTCTTCCTGCTATCATACTGCAATATCCACAGCT